TTTAGATGTATTTCTTTCTCATGGTAAAAATATGTTATCCTTATATACTTTATTTTTCTTCTTCATTTATGTTGTGGGAACCTATCCCTCCCCTCCCCTTCCCTTTTTCATGTTTGATATCCTAATATTTAGTTACCCAGATTGGATATCTCCGCTTTTGTAAGAAGGTACAGCTGGTGATATGTTAGTTGTATGAGATGCCTAATATGATTTTTAGTTAGCACAAAATAGCAGAGGGGGTTAGTTGGAGATGATATAGAGAGCAGGTCGGTTGTGTTCCGCATCTCCTCTGTCTCCACTGACAGCTATAAGGGGACCTGCAGTTCTTCTGCTTATGATGAAAGTCAAACCTATAGTCCTAGTTCACTAAAGCTATTTAATCCATATCTTTGACCACAATCCTGTTGGGTTTCACACACACACACATGCATTGAAGCAAAATGGTGCTGGCTAGTTGAAGTTAATTAGAGAGGTTCCTGTTACTTGTCTGGTTGTGTAACCCCCACATGACCAAGCACCCTGTCAACACCTCATGGATTAGCCTCTATTAACTGCCTGCTACCAAAACTAAGGCAGCCCTCTGTTTACTTATATGAAAGTAAAACCCATAGATAGGGACGTGGTGGCGCTGCAGACTAAACCGCAGAAGCCTGTGCTGCAGGGTCAGAAGACCAAGCAGTCGTAAGATCAAATCCACGCGACGGAGTGAGCACCCGTCGCTTGTCCCAGCTCCTGCCAACCTAGCAGTTTGAAAGCATGCAAATGCAAGTACATCAATAGGGACCGCCTCGGTGGGAAGGTAACCGCGTTCCATGTCTAAGTCGCACTGGCCATGTGACCACGGAAAGATTGTCTTCGGACAAACGCTGGCTCTATGGCTTGGAAACGGGGATGAGCACCGCCCCCTAGAGTCAAACACAACTGGACAAAAATTGTCAAGGGGAACCTTTACCTTTACCTAAAACCCATAGATAGACAAAGATAGGATTTCCTTGAAAGAGGAAAACAACCGCAAACTGGCCACAGTTGAGAAGGTGGCGACTACACATACAATATCATTTATATTAGGGTGGCATTACCTTATTCTAAAACAATGAACAGATTATCACATTTTATTTGGCATAAGCCTTTGGGCGCTGAAACCTACTTCATAAGGTGTATCTTACATTGTAGGCCAAAGTCTATGTATGAGAGTTTAAAGATATGCACTCCTGTGTTAGACCACGTTTTCCTAGGGAAGCTCACAGAACTAATTCAACTGGGAAAAAGTAAAAATGCAACATGGCAATGCCTAACGATGGGCAACTCTTAAAACTGAGGTACGGGTGATGACTGGTCAATGTGCACTTCTTCGATTATGGTCTTGCCTCAAACAGCATCTTTTGTCAAGCTGCCAAAGTCAAGAAAGCACAAGGTTTTTTTCCTTCCTCCTTTGATCTTCAAGCTGTTGCAACTATAACCTCTTGTAGAGCCTGTGCTGACATTTGCCAGTTACCAATCCATCCTGTTCTCTCACAGCTTTCACTCTTACCTGGTTTCATTCAAACTATCAAGCCTTCCAGCAAGGGCCACTGACTCATGTGTTTCTGAAACACATACAGTGGTGCCCTGCTTAACAGCGATAATCCGTTCCAGGAAAATTGCCATTAAGCGAAAACATTGTAAAGCAAAATAAAAACCCCATTGAAACGCATTGAAAACCTTTCAGTGCGTTCCATTGGGCTTTAAACTCACTGTCCAGCGAAGATCCTCCATATGGCCATTATCGCTGCCTGTATAGCGAGGAATCCATCCTTAAACACAGTGGGGAGCCATTTTAGTTACCCGGCAGCCATTTTGAAAACGCCAATCAGCTGTTGAAAAATCATCGTTTTGCGCAGAATTGGTTCCCGAAGCAGGGAACTGATCATCGCAAAGCGAAATTCCCCCATTTAGACCATCGTTTTGCAACCACAATTGCGAACGCAAAAAGATTGTTGTAAAGCGGATTCGTCGTAATGCGGGGAAATCGTAAAGTGAGGCACCACTGTAGTTAGGACTGCATCTAACTTTGCTGTAGGAAATTAATTTCTGGGTATGAAACTACATGCACCTGAGTCTGTGAGTGATTATACCTGATGCATTGCACACATGGGTGAAATGTATATGGGATATATATTTTTCCTCCACAGATGTGATGCTCATGTATGAAATTTTCCCTTTGGGAAGCAATTCTGAATAATAACAGAATGGCTTGGGATGCTGGTTCTGCCCAGTCCCCAGCCTTTGGTGCAAGTGACATGAGATTTTTTCCATTTGAAGTTTTTACAGCGACACACTCTGTTCAGAGAGCTATTTACTGAGAAGCAGAAGCAGTTGGGAGTTCTGTGTTGCTATTTTTAGTAAAATGCCTGAAAAGGGAAATAAGAGGCTGGCTGGGGTAGAGACAAATACGGATGCTTCTAACCATCTCTGCTTATGGGACTCTTTAAGTATTTGAGCCACGGAAATAACATGGCAAATTGTTCCACTGCGGCAAGTAAGGACAACACTGGTTGAAAGACTGTGGAAATTGTAATCCAAAAACGGTAACTTGCTTGTGCTCTGGCTGCAGACTCATAAAAGAGCCTTTTCCATGCATAAAGCAGAATTTTCTCATGATTCAGATAATGCTTCTCTCATGGCAGTCTTTTGATGCTTTGCAAATTTCAGATCATTTAAAAATCAATACTAATTTATTCAAAGTGGGGTGAAATGTTTGACCTTTTTTTTCTTTAAACCAGTGGTTCTCAACCTTGGGTCACTAGATCTTCTTGGACTAATACTCCAAGGAGCCTTGACCACTAACTCTGCTGGACAGGATTTCTGGGAGCTGTAGGCTAATACTCCAAGAAGCCTTGACCACTAACTGTGCTGGACAGGATTTCTGGGAGCTGTAGGTTTAAGTCATGAATAGGATGTAAGTAGATTGGGAGGACAGTCTACTTTGCCCTACATCAGTGGCTTTCCAGTTTGGGACCCAGATATTCTTGGTCTACAATGCCCAGAAGCCCTGCCCAGAATAGCCAATGATCTAAGCATCTAACAGTTGCTGTTCAAGAACGTCTGAGGGCTGAAGTTTGGGAATCATTGCCTTGTACATCAAAAGCAGGTAGGGCTAAGGAACTTTTTTCAGATTTGCCAGAAATCTGAGGGTCATACTTCTAAGGGGACAGGGCTACAAGAAAGGGATATAATCAAAGAGGCCAGCTTGCATCTTTTTTTTGTTTTTGTTTTACTGTATTTTGTTTTACTTATAGTGTTTTATTTTATTTTAAAGGTTGCTACACTGAGGTTTTGTTACCTGGAAAACGATTTCAATTTTAAAAAAAATTAAACTGAAAATGACCTGCTGTGACTTCTATTGGCCAAAAATATTTGAGAGGAGTAGAGGGGCCCAGGGGTTCTCATGAAGCACTAAAAAAACTTGGTAAATTGGAAGTGGGGAAAAAATTACCTTTCAAATTGGAAAGTTTAACTCCCATGCCCCTAGGCAGCACTTTTCCAACAAAATATATATTTAAAACAATTATTTAATTTTGGGGCAGGGTGGAAGGTACTAGGTGGGATCCCAGTCCTATGTAGGGCTGTCAAATATCATTAGAGGGCCTGCATGGTCCCCATTCCTAATCAGCATGGTCCACTATAGTGGGATGCGTAACTCAGTAGACAGAATGCTTTGCCTACTGAAGGACTCCGATTAAATGCTGGGCATCTCCCATTAAAAGGACTAAGTAGGTAGAAATAGGAGAAGCCACTTAGCTTAAGTCTCTGGAATGCTGCTGCCCAGTACGATAGGCAATACTGGGCCAGATGGACCAATCAGGTATAAGGCAGTTTCCTTCCAGTTATGGACTGGGTTTGCATGAGGAAAAGGAAACACTGCTACTGGTGGGAAGTAATGGAGAAAAGAGTGGGGCATTTAGGAACCATCCAATCCAAAAACTATCATCCTCATGTCAAATATTTGGGGAGATAGGAAAAACATAGTGCTTTTAATATGTACTGTAGTTGCCCTGTGTTGATGTTTGAACACCCTTTGCTTTCCTCCAGTACACCGTGATTGTGTGTGTTCAGTCAACCACCACCATCATGTTTTGGTTTAAGTGAAAAGGGACAGGCAATTCTATCTTCTTTGAATTCAGCTTTTGTGTAAAGTACACAAGAAGCTAAACAAGAATCAGATCAAGGACCTAAATAAGCTTGGTACAACTGTTCTGTTTTTAGGTTTATCTGGATTATGGTGGTCCTCAACTGTGTTTTGCATCAAATGGGTATTCACATCAGTCAGCCTGTGGCTCTAGGACAGTATCTTAGTGACCCCTTTTCTCTGGCAGAAAGCATTGCTAACATAGTGAGTTTCACCTACTGGCACAAATTATTCCACAAATCTTTGGGCTAACACCACCAGGAGGACAATTTTATTTCCATCCAAGGACCAAACTACACATGAATCAGAACTGTCTATCTAGAGCTCCCAAAGTATTTCCATTTCTATAAAAAAAAACAGTGCTGCATGACCCTGGTTTGGCCTTACGTCATGGTGTTGGAGACAGCATTTAACCCTTTCACCTTATGTTCTGAAACCTCGATCCAAATACTTTCCCGCCTCCATCTGTTACCGCTAATTTTTAAAGAATGCTCATGGATATGTTTAAAACAACAACAACAATGCAAGTTTCCTGTTCTATGCCTAGCAAGAAACAATGGAGATTGTGCCCTCCCCAATAATGAAAACAAGGTTATTTGAGTGGTCAAAAATAATATATAGTTCCCATTTGAATCTCACTTTGTTATACTGTTTTGTTCATAAAGTTCCCTTCCGTTTAAGCAGCTTAGCTTTTGCAGCATCATTATGGAGGCAGTTTTGGTGAAAGGAAGATCTACTGCAGAAAGAAAAGGCAGGCATTCATATAATTTCATGTGTTTCATTAAAAAAACTTTAAACTTGATGCTTATTTCTTTTTCTCTCTATCAATTAGATGAGGCAACAGTAAAGAAGAAACCAGCTCCAAAGACTCCACCCAAAGCAGGTATTGTTGGTTTATTGCTATAGAAATAGAGAGGGTAATATACAAATTCAGAACATTTATATTGCTCCTTTTAGTTACCTGTACTATTTGTGGTCATTTGAGAAGACTGTGAGGTGTGCACTGACAACTCAGAACAACAATTATTTATCTGAGGCACTTTTACCCTGTTCTTCAGCTATGGAGGTTACAATTTATTTTTATTTTATGTGTATGTATTTAAAATATTATCCCACCTTTCTCCTTGAAAAGGACCCAAGGCAGCTTGCAATGAAAGACAACATTTAAAATTGAAAACAATGAGTATACAATGGTGGTTAACATCATAAAAAGACAATATTTAAAACTATTTAAAAATGAATAAGGAGGCATCTTAAATCAGGCAATATTAAGGCAAAGATCAGTACGTATACAAAAATTTTAAAATGCCACTCTGAGAAATGGAAAACACGAATATTACTAAAAATCCAGTCAAAGCAGCAATGCATAATGGTCTGTCTAAAAATCACACACAGGTAGATGCTTACTGCGGGAAGACTTGCCTGAAGAGAAAGGTTTTGTCTGCTTGTGGAAGGACAGCAAAGATCGGGCCAGCCTGGCTCCAGTGAAAGGGAGTTCCAAAATTTGGGTGCAGCAACAGAGAAGGCTCTTTCTCAAATAGTGCCTAGTAAGGGATCAATAAGAGCAAGACATTCCTTGTCCATAGATTCACAGTCTAAATGACACAACAGAAGAGGAGACTGAGAAGAAAAGATGGCAATTAAAGGACTCATAGGCACCAGTACTTAAACTTGTAGTGTCTTTAATGGCGTCTGGAATGTTAAGAGTTCAGGGGAGGGGAGGGGAGAGCTGTTTTTTCAGCAAATGGATCTACTTCCCATCTCTCACTCTGCTGCTGCATAATGGAACTTCTCAATGTGGCCTCTAAGCTTTATGCTCAGCTGTTTTTTCAGCAAATGGGTCTACTTCCCATCTCTCACTCTGCTGCTATCATCTTCGAAGAACAGGCAGGCTTCAGAAAAGGCAGAAATACAATAGATCAAGCCTTTGTTTTACACCATGTAATTAGTAAATACACCAAACCTCCAAACAAATATCTTTACACTGCCTTTGTGGATTTTTCATCAGCCTTTGACCTGATAGATAGAGAACGTCTATGGTATAAATTGGAAAAAACAAACATTGATAAGAGACTCCTGTGGCTTATACAGCTACTACATAAAGAAAATACGATGCAAGTGCGTATAGGCTTACAGGGAGCTCTATCACAACAGGTTCGCATTACCCAAGGGGTGAAACAGGGTTGTATTTTAGCACCTTTTCTTTTCGACTTTTATATAAACAGCCTTATCCCTCAAATGGCTTCCCCCACATCCTTCCCTCCAGCCATTGGCTGTAGGAAGATCTCAATACTGCTTTATGCTGTTGACCTGGTTCTGCTATCTTTGAATAAAATTGGTCTTAAAAGAATGCTGTCCAAATTTGGGCAGCTCTGTAAAGAGGAACGGCTAACAATCAATTATACCAAAACAAAAATTATGGTCTGTGGGAAGAGAGCCCCTAAGCATAACTGGTCTCTGGATGGGCATGCTATTGAGCAGGTACAGTCACTTAAATACTTGGGCCTTCAATTTTGTGAGAAACTCTCCTGGAGAGAGCATTTAAATGCTACAATCTTACTGAGTACCAGATCAATAGGGCAATTTAAAAGATTTTTCTACAGCAGAGGAGGCCAGCTGGTAAATCCTGTTCTCAAGGTGTTTGTTGTTAAAATTCTAGCACAAATGCTCTATGGGACAGAACTATGGGGAGAGGCAGCCAAGCCCAAATTAGAAATCCTGCAGAACAAATGTATGAGGCTGATACTGGGTCTCCCCCCCCAGGAACTCCCTCAGCTCACCTTAGAGCTGAGTTAGGCCTACCCTCAATTGCCGCTAGAATTGATCTGGCTTATCTTAGATATTGGCATAGACTGAACAGTTTGGAGGACTCCTCCCTGACAAAGTGCTGTTGGTCAGAACAACTAAAGTCTGGTGGATGGGCACAACAATGTCCCCAAAAATTAAAGGTCCACAACCTTTTGATGGAAAAGTTCCTTAGTTTAAGCTCTCGCGACCTTAGGAACTGGATCTTTGATCTTGATGCTAGCCAGGATAGGGCGGCTATTGTTGGGTCCCGTTTTTCTACCTGGTATCCTCAACTTCAGGTGAATCATGCAAAACCCAATTATTTTGAGTCATTGACTTTTCCCCAGATTCACAGAGCTTTTACAGAACTTGTATTTGGACAGATGGCCTCAGCATACCTCAAAGGGAGATATAAAGGAATCCCAGTCAAGGAACGAAAATGTGTCTTTGGCTGCAACCAGACTGAGGATCTAACTCATTATCTACTGTTCTGTCCTCTCTATAAAAATCCTAGAGAAAGATTTCTGTCACCCATCATTAAAATGTATTTTAACTGTAACCCCACTGAAGCAGTAGTAGGATTGCTTGCTGATGCACAATTGCACATTACATATGCTGTAGCACAATTTGCACTAGCAGCTAAGAAGCTGAGGCTTCGTTTTGTCAGGGATCATAATGCCACATAAATGCTGAACACAGTGGATTGGCGTTTTACATTATGACAATATTTTTAGACCGGGTTTTATTGGTTTTAAGGTAAATACCTGTTTTATTTGGATTTTATATGCTACAGTAGTCACAATATTGTAAAGGTCTATGGCCAGAAACAATAAAGTTTATATGTATGTATGTATATCATGAGAACCAGAGCTTCCTTAACCACTGATATATACCTATTAATATTGTTCCTGTTATATGCTGTCAAGTCAGAACTGACTTATAATGAACCAAATAGGGCTTTCGATTTCAGTGAGGCATTTAAGGAGTGGTTTTACCAGTTCCATAACCCCAGTGACCTCCCCTGGGGTTAACCAGTATTCAACATTGAGTACCCCACTCAGTGAGCTCCCCTGAGTCCTAGTACATTACTCTAACCAGTATTCAACATTGAGTACCCCACTTGCTTGTATGGCATGAGCTCTTCTCACCTCTGCTATCTTGCAAAAGTGGCCTGCTTCATTTTGTGACTGGTCATCAGGAAGTAAGCAGACTTAATTTCAAGTCTGGTTGCTTAGACATGCAGTTGGGAAGAAAATGCATGTGGCACCCCCTGAGTCCTAGTACATTACTCTAACCAGTATTCAACATTGAGTACCCCACTTGCTTGTATGGCATGAGCTCTTCTCACCTCTGCTATCTTGCAAAAGTGGCCTGCTTCATTTTGTGACTGGTCATCAGGAAGTAAGCAGACTTAATTTCAAGTCTGGTTGCTTAGACATGCAGTTGGGAAGAAAATGCATGTGGCACAGTGGGCAACACACAGCTTGCTTTCAGGTCCACCCCGTTTTGTGACTCTGAGAAGACCCACCACCCAATGAAGAAGAATTATGCTACAGGAAGCTGCCATCAAGACTAGTGCTTTCTTAAAACAAGGGATATTGCCCCCACCTCCCCATTATTTTGGCCAAAAATAAGTTTTAAAAAACCCAAAAGTGGACTTCTTTCCACTTCCAGTCTTGTTTTTTGGAGAGGTCACACAATGTGACAGATTCAAGGAAGAAAAATTTGCCCTGAGCCTGAGACTTGCCAAACTTTCTTAACCTTGGTCTGTAAAATGTCTGCTGAGTGGTATCTTTGTCACACCATGTTTAATATTGGCAATTATCCATTCAGTGTTTTCTAGAGACGATCCAGTTTTTGAAGCAGGTTTTCTCAGACAAGAGGGACCTTGCAGTACAGACACCTTGTCAGCTAAGAAAACTGTCAGTCCCTGTCCTTGTCGGAAAGAAAGAGGGGAACCATAAGACTCATAAAGTTCACTTTTCTGTTGGGGTGACAGCTATTTCAAGTCTGTGGTACATATCACCAGCATCCATACTTGGGAAATAAAATGTGCAAGCTTGCATTGAAGAACTGACTAAAATATTTCATAAATGCCTAAGTGAAGTGGTTCAGAAGTGTCATCTCTAGATTGCTGGACAGATAATCTGTTCCTAACTAATTTGTCCACCTGGATGCATTCACATGCTGACTTTCGAATATCTATCTACATGTGTACTGGAAAGTGAAACATTTGTAGAAAAGTGCAGAGAGAGAAAAGGTGGCTCCAAAATGCAATGTCAAGACCTTGGGCACCATTTATCAATACAACTGGGATGTTACACTGATTGGCAAAGAAAACCGGTTGTTGTTTTTTCTTACTTTGAACTTACAATATAAATTTCTGAAAATCAAGTTTCAAAAATTTTTCTTTTCTTTCTTTTCCTTCCTTCCTTCCTTTCCAGCTCTCCCACCTCAGATTGTTCAGTTCCCAGAAGATCAAAAAGTGCGGGCTGGCGAGTCTGTGGAACTTTTGTGCAAAGTGACAGGAACACCTCCCTTAACATGCACCTGGATGAAATTCCGAAAACAGGTAATAAAATCTGTTTTTTTTCTTTCTACTGATCATAGCATGCATGACAAACAATAAAATCTGAAAACTTGTGTTTTTTTTTTTTTCATTTACATTATGCATCCCTCCATAATTGTACAGCTTCCATGACTGGTCACACTTATGTATCTGAAAAAAAAATCCTATGGAAGGAGTTACTTTATGTGATCCCCAGGTGTTGTTAATACCATTTTTTAAATTTAGGCCTTTAAAAAAACTTTTGTGTTTGAATTGGTTGTATTGCCATATTGATTGTGTTATTATATAAGGGTGGAATAATACTTTATTCTACAAACCACCCAGAGTAGTGGGTTTGCACTAATGGGGCAGTATACAAATCGATTTTGTTTTGAACATTTAAAAAAAAAATACCCCCATGGGCTTTGTTTGAGGCATAGGAAGTTAGAATAGTGGGGTTGGGGGGGAGTTACCAGATGTACACAGATGATTCTTTAGTAAAAGACAAGACATACAAACAAAGCTCTTAGTCATTTAATGAGTAAGAAAGTCACACAAATCCTGACCCTCATCTACAAGAATTTATCCAAAATACTCCTTTTTTGAAATTTGTTTCAAATGAAATTTCTTTTCTATCAGATAGCAAAAGAATGCTATTCTGTATATGCTATGATGCTAAGTGTTGTAATGTTCAGATCTTGAATCCTTTGGCCAGTTGAGCACAGTGATAAATACTTGGATATGAGTTTTGTTTTTGTGTCACTCACCTCATTTCATCTTTAGTATGAGAAAGTCTCTTATGTGTTTCTTTGAGAAGATGTCAAAACCCAAAGCAGATACAGATGGAGATGGGAACAAGATTAATTAAAAATGTTTCTTAGCAGCAACAGGTCTGAGATACATGAGATCAGAGTCAGTTTTGGTACAGAATGTCTCCTCACCGTGAGAAACCCATATGGTTCCTTCTGATATATTACTACATCTGAAAATATATTTTGGGGGGCAAACGTTTGCCTGTGTATTGGTTAGCACATATTTTCCCCCTATGTCTCTTTCTTTGAATAGTTTCTGCAGTTTTATTGATTACCGTTTCCCTGAAAATAAGACCTAACCTGAAAATAAGCCTTAGTATACTCGTAATGTAAGCCCTAGCCTGAAAACAAGCCCCAGTTAAGTGAAACTCCACCCTCCACCACTGTGCAGCACACATATTTTTATGGCTCTTTCTTTAAATAGTTTCTGCGGTTTTGTTGATTACCTGAAAATAAGACCTAACCTGAAAATAAGCCTTAGTATACTCATAATATAAGCCCTAGCCCAAAAACAAACCCCAGTTAAGTGAAACTCCACCCTCCACCACTGTGCAGCAACCAAAAAAAGATGACATGACTGTGTTTGAATAAATGTAGATTATTGTACATGAAAAAATAAAACATCCCCTGAAAATAAGCCATAATGAGTTTGGTTTTTTTGAAGTAAAAATTAATATAAGACCCTGTCTTATTTTGGGGGAAACATAGTATTTTATTTGCTGTTTGTATACTTAAATTTTTTTAATCCTTTTTAAAAAAGACTGTAGTTATAATTTTTAGTTGCTAAACTAGAAAGGATAAAAATATTTATAATAACACTAAAATCTTAAGTTCTAAGGAGGAGGATGCTGACTCCCACACAGCAATAGAAGATGCCTTCTAATTGAGTGGGTGTCTCTTACAGAGTCCTAAGCAAGCTGTGGCAGATCAGCAGTTAGTTATTTCCAGTATCCTCTACATTACCAGAAGGCTGATGGTAGACAAGAGATAACAATAGTCAGTTAACTGCAACTCGCAGAAGCCCCAGTCAGCACAACTGGTGGTGAAGGCTTCTGGGAGTTGCAGTTCAAAACTCCTGAGTAACCCAAGGTTAAGAACCAGTGCTCTACATTACCAGAAGGTTGATGGTAGACAAGAGATAACAATAGTCAGTTATGTCAAATGGAAAGCTGACCATCCTGAATTGTCGCATGATCTTATGATCTCACTATATATTGTTATGTTCCAAAGAACCAGTGGTTCTTAACCAGTGGCATGTGTATCACTAAAGGGTAACAAAAGCAATATAGGTGGGACACAGGGTTTTTGTAACATTTAATAGGAATTTGCTTTCCCCATGGTCTTCTCAAAGTGTAATGTGCTTTCTCTTACTGACCCTATCTATCATACATTGGCCAAAATCACATTACTTAGCATGGTAAATTGCGGTGGATTAGGCCTATTAAAGCAATGGCAATTTGGTGAGTAAATGCCTTCATCTATACAAATGGGCCTACTCCAATTGTGACACTATGTTAAAATAAGTTGCAATTAGAGTAGGACCATTTGACTCAATGGAGTTTACAAATGAGCTTAGTAAATCCCAATTGATTTGATGGGCCTACTTTTAGTGCAGTTTACTCCACTAAGTAACAGGATTTTGGCCATTATCGGCCATTTTTTGGAATAGTAAGAGCACTATAGCAACTCAGGACAATTGGTCTTCCTCCTGACTCATCAGTGAGTGTGGTGCTGTGTCCTGTCAAGGATTCTCTCGTTTGCTTTTGCCTCTCTCCTTATTTTTGGTATGGGCTAGTAACACTTGGGTTGCGCAAGATCGGGAACTACGTACTAGCATAGGCAATATGTATGACAACATAATGCCTGTGAACATACGTATGTCCTTTCTAGGGAAAGTGGTCCTGTTTTGTTTCTCATATGATGGAATATTGATTCTTTGACTGATTGGTGAAACATAAGGTATGAAAGGTTGAGAACCAGTGCAGTGGAACCACCTCAGTGTATGTATCATTGTCAGCTGGTGATGATAGGGAAGTCTGATGAGTGTGGGTGTGGTCAAGTTAATTTTGACAGGGTAACCTTTTCCAGGTAGAGTATGCAGAAATAGTTTAGCCTTCCCTTGTTCCGGGGGAAACCTGGGACTGTGCAACTTGCCCAAGGCCACATAGGCTGATATTTCTGGGATGCACAGTGGGGAATTGAACTCCCAATCTCTGGCTCCTCAGGCAAGACGCCTAACTCACTGAGCTATCCAGTCAGTTGATAATGAATTTACCATCCAGAAACATTGTATCTACGGCACTGTTCCCTGATAATAGTTTGTGAAGGATGTCTAATCCAGGCTTTTTCTATTGCACAGATTCACAGCTAGATTTCATAGTCAAAGGAAGAGTGTTAAGATTTGCAGAGTGCTAGTAAAAGCACTGAATGGAGCTGGAAAAAGATAAAACAATGCCTTCAGAGAAGCAAAATTCTACTTCCATCTCAAGAAGCTAGGTTTCTGTTACTAGCCTTGAAGGAACAGCTGCAGGAGGCTACTTTTTGTGGTCTTGTGCCAAAAGAAACAATGTAACTTAGACTTCCATTTTGATTTTTAATTGTCTGAAGATGTATGGCAGAACCAGGCGAACTAAATAGCCTTCATTTACATGAAAACCTCGTGAAGGGAGCTGGACAAATCCTTCTCTAATGGGAAGGAAGGGGGATGGTGAGGAGGTTACTGCTGTGTGAAGGGACTTGGACAAATCCTTCTCTAATGGGAAGGGGGATGGTGAGGAGGTTACTGCTGCTACTATATATTTTCCTGTTTAGAGCATACAATGCTTTATTACAATTAACTAAAAGCCTTCACGCTGGCCGCCCCATGGATCAACTTTGCAAATATCCCAGTCTAAACATTCTTGACATTTTGTTCTCTAGTTCATATGTTATTTGTGTAGAGGAGTGGTTCTGTTTGCAAGATTTACATTGCAGATCTAGATTTCATTCCTTTGAGCATCATCCTTCTCTCCCCCCCACCCCATAATCCTTGTGTATCCCTTTAATCCTCATGCACCTGAATGGGACATTTTATGGAATATAATAAATACTGAGAATGAAATCTACAGTCTAGGCATTCTACAGCAAGATACAGCCTTTTTCTAGGTTCAGTGTTGATTGGTTGGTTTTCCAGCACTATATGACAGCTGGGATAGAAAAAGTCTCAGTAAGTGTATTGTTTTTTGGCATTGTGTTATTTTTTGTCCCATATAAAGTAATTTATTGGGTTTAAAAAGTATTTCATGACTTCTCACGGCAAACTATGATACAGAGAAGCACACATTATATAGTCTGGTTCTAAATGGATTGCGCTGTTCAGAGGGGAGGCGATGGCACTCACATGGAGTTCACAGAATATGAGAAGTAAAATTTACCCTAAACCAATGCAAACCTCACAATTAACCCCAAAATACAGTAGAATTGTCTTTGAGGTCCAAAAATATCATGCAGTTGACTCAATGCAGTGTGTGTGTGTGTTTAATTAATGGTGTATGAGAGGCAATGGAAGTGCGGCAAATTTAAATGTGAAAATGTCAATGTGAGAACAAATTGAAGGATGGGCTGACAGGTAAGAAGGATTGGTGACCCAACAAAACACATTCTTATAATTATATTCTGTCTGGCAAGTTCTGGCTGAGACTGTTACCTTATGTTTTCAGGGCTCCTATCTTAATATTTCAATTTGACTTGACAGATCCAAGAGAATGAGCACATCAAAATTGAGAATGCTGAGAACAGCAGTAAGCTAACTATCTGCTCCACAAAGCAGGAACATTGTGGGTGTTATACTTTAGTCGTAGAAAACAAGCAAGGCAGCAGGCAAGCCCAGGTTAATCTCACTGTTGTAGGTAAGTACATTACAACACAATTTTATCTTAAATTTCTATATTTCTGGAACCACTCTTTGTCCTGGTTTGAAATACATGAGCTTTTTATATGATATAGTAATATTTCATAAATGAGCTTGCAAGAAAGTAAACAACTCAAGAGTGCAGTAATTAGAAATATGAATCATGTTTTCAGTTAAGTAGGCTTACCAGTGTCTTCAACTCAAGTCATGTCTTCAGCTGATCAATATCTTTGCATTGGTTTTTTGCCATCAATCAATGCAACATGTATATACATGCAGTTTATGCCCCACCATGTGTACAAAATGAGATCTAGCAAATGGCTGAGATAGGGCTTTTGAAGTAGCCTGCTTCCTATTCAAAATAGTCTATCTCAATTTGTTTTAATTTTAACTATATTTCATGTACATCCATAGTTTTAAATTATGCAACACTCTGATACAAAAAAAGAAAGAAAGAATGAATGAACTATTATGTTTACGTAATAACTTGTGATTGTAGTATAAAATTGTCCTGAATGGTTTAACAAGCTCAAAGAATAACTTTTCATTGTGACTTGTTCTCTCTTTGGTCAGTTTGACGAGTTCATGATTTCAGAAAATATGTTTGATTTTATTCGCAACTGTTGTTTTTAGAGGAATAGGTACAGGAATATCTTTTTAGTAGAAAGATGAAGAAAATTTTAATTTTGCATGCTTGACTGCCACTTTAGCATCCTTTAAGTCTTTTTTTACAGGCTTGTATTAGTTTGTCAGTCATACTCATGACTGCCAAGTCAGAAAGTCACACATTGGCAGATACACCCTCTTATCATGTTAATCCTGTATTTGATATTAACATAGGATTAATATGACAAGAGGATATGCTTCCCATTTGAACAGTATTTAAACCTACCATATCTGTACTTATGCAGCATTAGTACACCACATTGGAAGTTAATAGACATTGGCTAAAATTGAGTTACACAGTTACACAAATAGTGTGATTTTTATACGCAAATTGCCTGTTAGATGTTGAGACATGCAGCTTAGTGTGCAGCAGATGATGTCTGAGGAGATTTCTAAACTTATGGCAATTCCCTTCCAAAAGTGAAGCCATTTGTGTAACTATGAAACAAGATTTCAGCCATTATGTTTCATACTAGCTCTTGTAAGTAAGGCTGTGTTGCATCAAAAAGGATGGATATAAGGATAAGCATTAGTGCGAGGAGAGAATCAGTTTTTTCTTTCTCTCTAAAATATTGTCAAAGCTTCATCTACCAATACCATCTTAGCTATATCGATAAACAACAGACTCATTCACCAGGGTTTATGTTAAACATGTTTTTTTGCAGTTTTTATCAGAGCTACTGAGAGCTTTCTGCCAGCTATCTTCAATTGTCCTCACTTTCATTTGGTGTCACAATGGCAATGCAGGCATACTCTGGTTTTTAATATATTTTATCCAGAAACCTAACCCCACCCCACCTGATCCACCCTCAGAAGGGCATGACAGATGTACGCATCATGTACACTGGTTTTAAAAAACAGAGGGTTATGACTATGCACAACTGTAATAATTTAAAAAGTTGCTAGCCCTCAGGGTTGTGCTAAAAACATGCCTGATTTCTGCTGACGGTGATGGGAAAGCAGAGTTTGGGATGTTTTTAATGAGCAAAGAAAGGAAGGGATTGAAATAACACACAGAAGCTGTTTTGGACAATGAAATGTGGAAAGTTCACTCTAGTTAGAAGGGCAATGTGGTTTTATGAGGGAGAAGTTTTGTTTACTGTAGAACGTGATAGCTGTATAAAGATACATCCTAAGCTCAATTTTTTAAAAATAAAACATGCCAATTTCCCGTCCTCCAAGGCCATGTTTATACTAAAGATAGAATTCATTAATATCTATATGGAATAGTGCCTTTAAATTACAGCCCTTTCCTCCCTTGGAAATATAAGCTGCACAGAGTGGTTTTTTCCCAGTGAAAGCAGAATGGTTTACAGTGACCCCCAAGCCCTGAGAGCGGTAACATAGAGTTCAGTTATGGCCTTTTATGGTTTCATTTTTCTCCCAGAGATGAATCTCAAGTGCAACCCTTGCCAGCAATGTCGGCATGGATATTATCCAACAGGCTTTAGTAGTATATTAAATACCTTCTCTGGCTACACAGCTTAGCCCATGGAAAGGAATTAAGTGTTGCTTCGTGTTCTCTCTTTCTCCAGCTGGTGAATATAGCTAATAATAGAATGGAAAGGTAGCACGATGCCTCCAAATTAAAAAGTGGTTAAGGTATCTAAAAAGGGACTACCTTGTGAGTGTGGCTTCCTTTCTGAAGCAGATCTTCTGTCTTGGGGCAGAATCCCTGAATTATCAAACACCATGTGAGCTGAGCAGTCAAGGCATTCAGACCTTTTCCTAGCTAGGACAGAAAAAGAGCCTCAGAGCTTAGAAAGGTTTTTTTAAATAGAATTTGTTACCATTATACTTCCAAGGCCTGAAGACCCTCACAGTTCATTACTAATATATTAAATTATACTATATTATATTAAGTATTAAACACTAAAGTTTTGCTTTCCCTTTCCCCAAAACTAGCAACAGAAGCTTTTTTTGGGGGGGGGGGGAAATCTGACTACAGCATGTGGTACAGCTCAAACTATGTACAGTAATATTCTTCCTCAACCATGTAATGAGGTCACCAGGTCAGGTCTTAAGCCGTTTAGATACTTCAGCTACTTTTTATGTTACTATATTACCATTCCACACTTTTATAAACAGCTGTGAACTATAAAAAGAACTCTGCAATTATAACAATGAAGAGCCTTGTAGCTCCTTAAAAATATATATGCTTATTTATAAGACTTCACCCCACCTCCATTCTATACGGCTAAATTTGCTGCATTCCATTGCAAGCATTTCCGTGAATATACAGTAATTGTGTTAATCTGCTACTGAAAAAAATAAGAAAGTCTTATCACATTATTACTGTATTGCATTGGATTATATTGCATGAAACATCTTTCTTACGGGACTGAAATGCAAGATGGCATGCAATATAATTAAAAAGCAGTATCACTAAAACACAATATATTATAAATATTAAAATATAGTGGCTAGAATCTGATTGTGAATTTATGCCAGCATTGAGTACATTGCATAAATTATAGCAGTGAATTTTCTCTAATTAACGTGTTGCCACTCATATTGCTACTTGTGTGCCCGACCACTTGACTGACAGGCAGTTAGGAATGTGAAGGATAACTCATTAATTAGCAGTAGTTCACTACTGTGATTTACACAATGGGATGATGGGCAATTAGATCAGTATAATATTAAAGCACAATTAGGTAAAAATGCTTTATAATGTCACCGTTGAAATAATAATAAGGGAAACTAAAAATTAAAGAAGATCAGCCCAAGAAAAGTTGATTTTTGTTTGACAAGATTTATTTGGCATAAAGTTTAGCTTAACTTGTCATGAAAAGATACAGCTACACCACAAAGGGAAAGAGGTTGCCCATCATGGCTACAAGTCACAGATGTTGTGCAACTTAGGTAAACCTTTATTTCTGAGGAAATGAATCAATTACAACAAGTATTTGTAACTAGTTCCTTCCAAGATCTAGAGAGTATATAAAAGGAAACCACTGTCTAGAACCAATGAATTAATTCCATCTTAGCCCTTTTCCCATTCCTGTGGGCCCTTACAATCAGCAGGTCAATTAATGTGAGCCATTCTAAGGATGCTGGGAGGCCTGAGACATGGCACACAGGTAAGTACCACATTCAGAATGCAACCAAGTTATTGGTCATTTTGAAAGTACCCCCTTAGCCAAAGTTCCTCCTGCTGCTGCCCTGTGGAAAGGAAGGGTTTCTTTCTTTGTATTCAAGGAGACTCTGGCACACAGTTTGCATCCAAATTTCCAACTTATCTTGTATATATGTTAAAGTGGGAGATCTTCTTTCCTAATATTTGGATTGACTGAAGAAAAATGAGTACTTTAAAATGACTGGTTATCATTTCTGTTTTCTTGCTCTTGTTTTGTTTCACACCAAAACTGTGGCTTGGAGACTCCACAGGTATTGAATTATGGGACACCAAGAACACATGCTGATGTTTATTTAGGAAGTTGGAATGCTTCATAAAATGAAGTGAGGAATTGGCATGACATGAACACTTAAGTGTGAGGTCAACATAAAAGTTTGCTTGGTCTTTCTAAGCTGTGGTCCAGAAACTTTTGAAAGTACTTCAGTTAGTCAACTTAAAGCATTCCAACATAAGACAAATTTAGATCTGATCATACAGCATCTAGGGCATAAGATGGATTTTGTTCCTCCCTTCCTGAATATAATTTGGAGACCATTTCTCCCATTCCATGGAAGGAATAACTCTTGTCCTTGCTGGTCTCCTCATAAGAAAGAGACTGGTTTAGGAAGTGCATTGTAACCCCCATTTCCTGCAGTATATTTATTACAGTCTTGGATGCCTGCACACAACATTTGTACTCATAGAGATGAAACTCTTTCTGCCCAGTCTGAATTATAATGAATAGGTAGTTCTCTACTTCTGTCAAAGGGGAGTACAGATATCTGTCAGATAGCCTGAACATTACCTCCTGCGTCTGTGTATATATATTTTTTCATTCAGCTGAGATTTTGTGCTCTACGTTAAAAAATGAAAATATTTAAGGGCACTGGAACAGGACAGAAGAAGACAACTTTAAATATTAAACTTGATGTTGGGTTTTAGTGCTACAGATCAAATCCTTTTAAAAGAAGGAAAAAGAAAAGGCACTAGCCGAACAGAAGAAAGGGCACTAGCTGACCTGAGGCAATCAGTGGGTCCTGGAGAGGAGCCCACCGGTTGCCTGGAGGTCACCTAGTGCCCTTCCATAGTAGAAAATGGTCACAAAAATATCAACTATAATTAGTCAATATATTTGTGATTTTCCAGCTGTAAATATCTGTCTCTATACTTCAGGAGTTTTGCAATTTGAAAACAAATCTAGACAGGGATGAACA